CTCATCAGGAGGGCTGGGGAGGGCACGGCCCATGTGCTTCTCCTGCCAAAGAACTTGGAACTTGCCCACTTGCTGACTTGCTCCTGAAGAAGCTGCCTTCTGACCCAAAGCTCCCCTTCAGTTGCCCAGCCTGCGGTGGGGTATTCAGCACACAGCCACTCCCATGGCCACGGGCCACACTAGATGGCAGACACGGTCACTAGGGCTCTGACAGGTACGGGGACGGTTCGGGTCTGGCTTGAAGCTTCCAGTCTACGAAAGTGGGAAACGCGTGCAGACAGCACTGATTCGGGAAGGCTCCCTCAGCCCAGAAGCTTATGGTTTCTGGAACCAGGAATGGCTGTACTTACATTAGTGTGCGAGTCACTGCACTCTTCCCCGCGCTCCCAGCTTCAGCAGCATTAGCTTGTGGGAAAAGGAGGGTGGACACCAGTGCCCTTTGACCTGCCTCCGGGTTCCCTGCCGCCACCCCAGGAGGGTCAGATGCTGCTGACCCTTACGGGAGAGGGCAGAGGAGGGAAATGACACAGGGACAGGACCTTGCACTCCTACAGTCTAGATTTCCCAGCTTTGCACGCCTTGTTCTCCCCTAAGTTAGTTCTATGAGCAGAGGGTTGCCCACCACACCTGGCTAGCCCAGGGTCAGGAAGTGAGGGTTGGACCTGCCACTGTCCTAAGTAGCAAACATTGACTTCCATGGAGCCCCGCCCCAGGCTCAGGCTCCTTCCTTGTCTGAGGCTCTTCTCTCTCCCTGGAGTGGGCATGGCTCTGGACCTTTAAACCCCCTAGCAACCTGGCCTGCTCACACCTTCCAACGGAGCCGCTGCTGGCACTTGCAGGAGGTTCAGCATTTTGGGGTGACACTGCCTAATGAAGCGGGTTCCAGCGCCCCTTCCCCCGGGCAGTGGTTAGGGCGCTCCAGGTTGACTGCGGTGGAGCTGGCGGAGCAGACTCCCAGCACCACGCAGGCATCCAGGAGGGTGCGGCCTGCGGTGGGCCCAGGGCGCTGGAGGAGGTGAGGCGAGGGCCCCTCGGACCCGCAAGCTTGAAGGCGTCGGGCAGGCTTCCTGAGTGCCCACCGACGTGGCTCCCCTGCTCACCCAGCCTGTCTCCTGGGGGCGGGGCCGGAACTCGGGACGCACTGCTGTTCCGCGGGGCGGGGCGGGACTGCCC